TGCTAAATTAGGGACGGCTAGCGCAGATAGCCCTCGTGTAGCTTTGCGCGAAATTCCAAAACAAACAAATCTTTTACTCCCTTCCGGAAGACATTTTCATCGTTTATAACTTTCATTTGTATTTTTTTTTTCACCATCAGATTCTGAAGTACTCGTTTTCTGTTTGTGTTATTTTTCAGGATTTTTTTCTTTTGTTATTACTAATGTCCCCCCACCCTTCACACACACACACTTGGGTGGGTAATTCGGTAGGTACAGAATTACAAAAATCCAGGATTCGGTCCTCTGCAATTGATAGATAGCAAATTGCACTAAGAAAACGACAACAATTACTATTGTTTTAACTATATATATAGAATCTTACTATTATATTCTGCACTTTGAGTCTGTGGGTCTGATATAAGAGTGACGGTCAAAGCCAACTATTCGATCAAACAAGAGTAGCCCAGGAAGTCTAAGGCTCGTGCCGAGATGTCATTGAACACGCCTTGGATTTTCGGTATTAAACTTTAATAATCAAAGTTTGAAAGTATATAGATTATCTGCACAACGAAAAGTGGAAATGATAATTCTGAGGATGATAGATAATCAAATAAAAACAAACCTATTAAACAACTGTTCATCAGCTAGAGGTTGGGAGAAAAAATATGAAACGTTAAAGATTTCAAGTTCGCCTGAACGTAGTTTACACGATTTCTTTCAGGTGAAATAATGTTACTGTGAGGAATTTTTTTAGAGCAAAATGGACAAACTTTTTGTAATGTTTAACATCCAGTCTGCGAGTCAGAAGGACATGTCTTTCCAGTATTAGTTTCGGGTCTAATTTTAGGCCAAACAAAGCTTTCCGCTATTATCTTTTCGTTCTTTTGTTACGATATATGGGCCTCCCAATGACTCAGCGGCCTGTCTGTGGACTTACATTGCTAAAAATCTGGTTTCGATACTCGTGGTGGGCACAGAACAGATAGCCCATTGTGTAGTTTTGTGCTTAACTACAAAGAAAGAAAGCGATATATCGAATCTGAGTTGTCAACCAGCGTTGCCGAATTTCGCACTAGCTATCAGGTTTTGAGGGACTAAAACTCATAATTCATTCCAAATTCCTACACGAAATATAATAGTGCGGACATACAAGATATGTTGTTGAACTTCGGCTTAATTGACGCGAGCAGATGAGAATGATGACACATCCCCCGGGACTGGATGCCAGTCCATTGTAGGTTAACACCCAGCTAACTGCTGGGATATGTGGTATCCATCATACAGCTGGGTAAACTGAAACAATTGGGGGAAAATATCTTGCTTAAGGACACAACAGCACAACACGAGCCAACCTTGAATTCGTAACCATCCAACTACGAGTCCAAAGCGCAAAGCTACTGAACCATACTTCCCCCTAAAGGGGTTGTATATTTTCGTTTCTGTTTGATTCGTCCTTCCAATTTTGTAGTGAAATAGCACCGTTTGATGTCGTCTTTCCAACATTGTAGAGAAACAGTACCGTTTGATGTCGTCTTTATAACATTATGACGAAACAACAACTTTTGATGTCGTCTTAACAACATTATAATGAAACAACAACTTTTGATGTCGTCTTAACAACATTATAATGAAACAACAACTTTTGATCTCGTCTTTACAACATTATAACGAAACAACAACTTTTGATATCGTCTTTACAACATTATAACGAAACAACAACTTTTGATGTCGTCTTAACAACATTATAATAAAACAACAACTTTGGATGTCGTCTTTTCAACATTATAACGAAACAACACCTTTTGATATCGTCTTTACAACATTATAACGAAACAACAACTTTTGATATCGTCTTTACAACATTATAACGAAACAACAACTTTTGATATCGTCTTTACAACATTATAACGAAACAACTTTT